TTGGTTAGGAGGAACAGGAAGTTGGTCTGGAGGAATGGGAACTTGGTCAGGGGGACAGGAAGTTGGTTGGGAGGGATGGGAAGTGCTCAAAAAGATCTGGAGGAATAGGAAGTTGGTTGGGGGATCAGAAGTTGGAGGGAGGGGGAGGAAGTGCTCAAAAATCAACAGGAAGTTGGTTAGGAGGAACAGGAAGTTGGTCGGGAGGAACCGGAAGTAGGGTTGGAGGAACCGGAAGTTGGCCGGGAGGAACAGGAAGTAGTGTGGGAGGGACTGGAAGTTGTGTGGGAGGTACCGGAAGTTGTGTGGGTGGAACAGGAAGTAGGTCAGGAAGAACAGGAAGTAGTTCAGGAACTCCCGGAAGTTGTTCAGGAGGTACAGGAAGTTTCTGGGAGGAACAGGAACTAAATCAGGAGGAACCGGAAGTTGGTCGGGAGGACCCGGAAGATGGTGGGGAGGAACCGGAAGTAGTGTTGGATGAACCAGAAATAGGGTGGGAGGAACAGGAAGTAGGTCAGGAGGAACCGGAAGTTGATCAGGACGATCCGGAGGTAGGGTGGGAGGAACAGGAAGTTGCTTGTGAGGAACCGGAAGTAGGGTGCGAGAGTAGGGGTGTAGAAGAAGGAAGTAGTGTGGGAGGAACCGGAAGTTGCTCCGGAGGAACCGGAAGTTGGTCGGGAGGGACAGGAAGTCGGTCAGGAAGAACAGGAAGTTGGTCAGGAGGGACAGGAAGTTGTTCAAGAGGAATCGGAAGTGGGTAATGAAGAACCGGAAGTAGGTAATGAGGAACCGGAAGTTGGTCGGGAACACAGAAGTAGTGTTGGAGGAACCGGAAGTTGTTCAGGAGGGGAAGTTGGTCGGGCGAAACCGGAAGTAGGGTGGGAGGAACAGGAAGTGGTCAAAAAGCACCAGGAAGTGCTCAAAAATCAACAGGAAGTTAATCAGGAGGGACAGGAAGTTAGTCAGGAGAAACCGGAAGTGCTCAAAAACCTACAGGAAGTGCTCAAAAATCAACAGGAAATGAGTCAGGAGGAACAGGAAGTTGCTCCAGAAGATCAGGAAGTTGGTCAGAAGGACCCGGAAGTAGGGTGGGAGGAACCGGAAGTAGGTCTGGAGGAACGGGAAGTTGGTCAGGAGGACAAGGAAGTAGGGTTGGAGGAACCGGAAGTAGGTCTGGAGGA